AGTCTGTTCAGGAGGAATAGCTCTGTAGCCTCAATGAGAGGTCACAGCAGCATGGACTAGAATACAACTGATAGCAGTTGTATTCATTATGCACTGCTGGGTAACAAATTCCCCAGAAATTTTAGAGGGTTAAAATAACAAACATTTATTTTCTTATAGTTTCTAAGGGTCAGGAGTCCAGGAGCAGCTTATCTGGGTGATTCTGATTCAGGGTTTCTCATGAGGCTGTAGTCAAACTGTCAGCCCAGGATACATCATCTGAAGCCTGGACTGGGGCTGGAGGGTCAGCTTCCAAGAAGGCTCACTACCATGGCTGGTGATGAGTTCTGGCTTTTGGCTGAAGTGAGTGCCTCGTTTCTCTTCTACTTGGCCTTTTATCCTGGAGGGCTTCTCTTCTCTATGTAACCTCCTCAGCAGAATAACCTGTACTATTCGACATGGTGGCTGGGTTCTGAGAGAGTCAGTGAGCAAGAGAGAGCACAACACAATTGGAAGCCGCAGTCTCTTTTAACCTAACATTGGAAGTAACATCTCATCCCTTCTGTATTTAGTTCATTAGCCATTAGTTACCAAGTCTCACTCACACATAAGAGAAGGACAGTTAAGATTTACCTCCTGAAGGGAGGAATGTTAAAGAACTGATAAACATTTTTCAAAACTACAACTTCAGTGGAGGTGATGAGAGGTGCCCTAATTCACTATATATATAATACATATGTATTATATATAAAATACATATAACATACATATTATATATAATATATAACATATATATAACAGATATCTCTCTCTATATAATATATATGTTATATATGTTATATATATCTGTTATATATATATATAACATATATATAACAGATATGTTTTATATATGTATATATATATTATATATACATATGTATCTGTTATATATATGTTATATATATGTTTTATTATATATATGTTTATAAATATATATAAAATATGTTATATATACATATATAATATAAATATATATAAACATATAAATATATGTTTATATATATATAAAACTTTTTATATATATAAACTTTTATAGAGGCAATAGGGCTTTTATTTATATATATATAAACTTTTTTTTTTTGTAGAAGCAATAGGGCTTTGCTGTGGTAAAGTAAAGTACAGAACTATATATGAGTCAGGATTCATTCATGACACAGAAACCACCTAGTAATTTTAACAGGACAAGTTTGATGTATTAAAATGACTTTTAACAAGTACTAGGATTAACTACAAAGTGGTAAAGACAACCCAATAAGGAATACAAGAACAGCATATACAGGTATACCTTGGAGATGCTGTGGGTTTTGTTCCAGAACACTGCAATAAAGCAAATATTGCAATAAAACAAGTCACATCAACTTTTTGGTTTTCTAGTTTGCACAAATGTTGTGTTCACATTATGCTCTAGCCTACTTAGTGTGCAATAATAGCATTATGTCTAATAAGCAATTAAGGCACATGCCTCAATTAAAATATAATTTGTTGGTAAAAAATGCCAACAATCATCTGACCCGTCAGCAAGCCATAATCTTTTCGCCGGTGGAGGGTCATGACTTGATGCCGCTGACCGATCAGTGTGGTGGTTGCTTAAGTTTGGCGTGGCTATGGCAATTTAATAAAATAAGACAACAATGAAGTTTGCTGTAGAAATTTTCTCTTCCTTTCACAAAACATATTTCTGTAGCATGAAATGCTGTTTGACAGCATTTTACCAACAGTAAAACTTCTTTCAAAATTAGAGTCAATCCTCTCAAGCCCTGCTGCCTCTATGTCAATTAAATTTATAGAATATTTTAAACATTTTCTTGTTATTTCAACAATATTCACAGCATCTTTCCCAGGAGTAGATTCCATTTCAAGAAACCTATCTCTTTGCTCATCCAGAAGAAGCAACTCCTCACACATTCAAGTTTTATTGTGAGATTACAATGGTTCAGCCATGTCTTCGGGCTCTGATTCTAATTCTAGTTGTCTTGTTATTTCCACATCTGCAGTAACTTTCTTCACTGAAATCTTGAGCCCTTTAAAGTCATCCATGAGGGTTGTAATCAACTTCTTCCAAACTCCTGTTAATGTTGATACTTTGACTACTTCTCATGAATCATGAATGTTCTTAATGGTATCTAGAATGGTGAATCTTTTCCAGGAAGTAAACGTTGCAGGAATCACTATCTATGACAGCTATAGCCTTATGAAATGTATCTTTCAATTAGTAAAAGTAGAAATGACTCCTTGATATATGGACTACAGAATGGATATTGTGTTAGCAGACATGAAAACAACATTATTTTTTTTTCATATCCATCAGAGCTCTTGAGTGATGAGGTGTATTGTCAACAAACACTAATATTTTGAAAGGAATTTTTTTTCTAAGCAGTGGTTCTCAACAGTGGGCTTAAAATAGTAAACTATGCTGTAAATAGAAGTACCGTCATTCGGGCTTTGCTGTTCTACTTATAAACCACAGGCAGAGTATATGTAGCGTAATTCTTATGGGCCCTAAAATTTTCAGAATGGTCCATAAACATTGGCTTCAACTTAATTACCAGCTACATTAGTCCTTAATAAGAGAGCCAGCCTGTTCTTTGAAGCTTTGAAGCCGGGCATTGACTTCTCCTCCCTAATTATGAAAGTCCTAGATGGCATCTTATTTCAGTAGAAGGCTATTTTGTCTACACTGAATATCTGTTCCTTAGTGTAGCCATCTTCATCAACTGTCTTAGCCAGATCTGGATGACTTTCCACAGCTTCTGTATCAGCACTTGCTGCTTCACCTTGCACTGTTATGTTATGGAGTTGTCTTCTTTCCTTAGGCTTCATGAACCAACCTCTGCTAGCTTCCAGACTTTCTTCTGCAGCTTTCTCTGAGCCTTCACAGAATTGAAGAGAGTTAGGGTCTTGCTCCAAATTAGGCTTTGGCTTACAGGAATATGCTGGTTTGATCTTCTGTCCAGATCACTAAAACTTTCTCCTTATCAGCAGTAAAGCTGTTTATTTTCTTACCATTTGTGTGTTCAGAAGTGTCACTCCACTGAGTAGCACTTTTAGTTTCCCTCTAGAATTTTTCCTTTACAAATTGGCTGTTTGGTGCCAGAGGCCTACCTTTCAGCCTGTCTCAGTTTTTGATGTGCCTTTCTCACTAAGCTTAATCATTTCTAGCTTTTGATCAAAAGTCAGTGATGTATGACTCTTCCTTTCACTTGAATGGTTGGAGGCCAATGTAGGGTTATTCTCTGGCCTAATTTCAATATTGTTGTGTCTAGGGGAATAAGGAGGCTCATAGGCAGTGAGAGTTGGGGGAGCAACCAGTCAATGGAGCAGTCAGAACACACACAACATTGAGCAATTAAGGTTGCCATATTAAGTGAGCATGGTTTGTGGTGCCCCAAAACAGTGACAATAGCAACATCAAAGATCACTCATCACAGATCACCATAACAGATATAATAATAATAAAGTTTGAAATTTTATGAGAATCACCAAAATGTTTCAGAGATATAAAGTGAGCAGATGTTGTTGAAAAATAGCAAGCTGATAGGCTTGCTGGATACAGGGTGGCCACAAACCTTCAATTTGTAAAAAAGAATACAATATTTGCAAAGTGCAATAAAGTGAAGCACAATAAAATGAGGTGTCACTATATAAGAATGAGCTACTACCTCTAGGGCTGGGGCAAGGTATTCAGAGAAAAAACAAATTTTAAGAAAGTCCCACTCTTCAAGGGCTGAGATTCAGACTTTGTTGAAGAGGGTATGACTTTAGCCCACTGATGGCAGAAATTGCATTGAAATGATGCAAGATAAAGCTATCAAACAGAAAATTGTCCCTGGAATGATGAGTATCCTTTTCAGGAAGCCATTTTCTGGTGTACTAGTAGAACTCAGTGGGAATCTCTTGGCTCGGGTGCTCATGAGACTAGCTAGACTGAACCTGGGTAGAATGCTGGTAGAACTTACTGGGAATCTACCTGTGGAGGTGTTATGAAAACAGCTGAGATGCCAGCAGAATTTCCTGGTATGTTGTCTGCTGGGGTGCTTGCAAAATTTGCAAGGAAGCTGGATATAGTGCCAGTGGAACTGTGTAGGAAGCTGCCTGCAGTGAGCACCACTATCCTGCACACTGCACAAGTGCTACAGGAGCAAGGAAAGAGAGGAAGCATGTCAGAACCAGGAGAAGAAGAGAAGCCTCTCCCGCAGTTTCCCTTCAGCACCCTCTATTGACAAAACTTCACATCAAGCCAGCTGGTGAAGGAGAGACATTATCAAGGTCCAGCTCCATTAACAAAGCAGAGCTGTGATGAAGGGTGGATTTGATGCTGAAAGAGAATGAGTTGACAGCTAGCAGAAGAACTAAGGATAGTACCTAGGTCAATGCTGGTGCCGCTTACTGAGGTGGGGAACCAGGAGGAGTCATTTGAGTTAAGATTGAGAATTCTCTTTGGGTGCGTTAATTCTGAGATGCCTAGGAGACACTTAAGTGAAAGTTTTGATTATCCAGATGAATATGTAAATCTGGTGCTCAGAGAGAGCAAGGGGCTATTTCCAACAAATGGCATGGTAACAGTTGAAAATCCACATAAAAAAATCAGAACCTCAACCTATATATTATACCTTATATAAAACTTAGCTCAGTTTGGATCATAGAACTACATGAAACTTAAATTATGAAAATTCCGGAAGAAAAAAATGGATATAGTTTTTGCAGTCTTGGTCTAGGCAAATATTTCTTAGACATAGCATCAAAAACATAACATGTCACATAAACTAATAAATTTGACTTCATCAAAGTTTAGAACTTCTGTTCTTTGAAAAACATTATTAAGAAAACAAAAAATAAGCAGCAGACTAGTAGAAAATATTTGCAAATTGTATATCTGACAAATAATTCGTATCCAAAACTTAAAAATAAAAAAAATAAACAACCTAATGAAAAAGATGTGCAAAAATTTGAGCAGGCGCTTCACTAAGGAAGATACCCAGGTACTCACTGTGGCAGCACATATATGAAAATTGGAATGCTACAGAGATTAGCATGGCCCCTGCACAAGGATGACATGCAAATGCATGAAGTGTTCTTTTTTTTTAAAAAAATGAAGATGCCCAGATTGCAAATAAGTACTTTGAAAGTGTTCAACACCAGTAATGTCTAGGGACATACAAACGAGAACGATACTGAGATATCACTACTTACCTATTAGAATAGCTAATTAAATAAAAACTGACAACATTAAATGCTGGTGGGATGCAGAAGCAACTGGAACATTCCTATTTCTGTTGAGAGAAAAAAAATTGGAAAACGTTTTGACTTGGCAGGTTCTATAAAATCAAATTAAACACATCCTTATAATATGATCCAATAATCCCACTCCAAGGCATTTATCAAAGGGAAATTTAAAATTATGTTCCCACAAAAATTTGTATGCACGTACTGTACTTAATCTGAATCTTCAGTAGGATGTTGATTAGGAACACTGAGAATGGTGGAGATGCTTTGTTTTTGAATTTAAAAGGGAAACACTCAGTTTTTCAGCATTAAGTAGAATATTAGCTATAGCTTTTTTTTGGGTAGATGCCCTTTATGAGGTTAAGAAAGTACCCATCTATTTTTGTTTTGCCAAAAGGATTAGATGTTGAATTTTGCTGATGCTTTTTGCATATTGGTTGAGATGGTCATATGGTTTTCCTTCTTTAATGTATTGATTTGGTAAATTACATTGATGAATTTTTATTTTTTAAATTTATTTTATTTTTTATTTATTTATTTTTTTGAGTTGGAGTTTCACTCTTGTTGCCCAGGTTGGAGTGCAATGGCATGATCTCGGCTCACTGCAACCTCTGCCTCCCAGGTTCAAGCAACTCTCTTGCCTGAGCCTTCGGAGTAACTGGGATTACAGTCACCTGCCACCATGCCCTCCTAATATTTTGTATTTTTAGTAGAGAAGGGGTTTCACCATGTTGGCCAGGCTGGACTTGAACTCCTGACCTCAGTTGATCCACCTGCCTCGACCTCCCAAGGTGCTAGGTTACAGGCGTGAGCCACCACACTCGGCTGATAAATTTTTATTTTTAAAATTATTTTAGATTCAGAGGCCACATGTGCATGGTTGTTACATGGATATATTGCATACTGCTAGTGTTCAGGCTTCTGTTGAACTCAAGTTGATGGATTTTTAAATGTCGAATTAGCCTTGTATTTCTGACATAAACCCTACTTGGTCGTTATGTTAATACAAAATGTATTTTATATGTCCTTTTTATATGTCACTGGATTTGATTTACTTATATTTTGTTGATAGTTTTTGTGTCTGTGTTCAAGGGGCTCTTGTTCTGTAGTTTTCTTGTCATGTCTTTGTCTGGGTTTGGAATGGTGTAATGCTGGCTTTATGAAGTGATTTGGGAAGTATTCCCTCCTCTTCTGTTTTCTGGAAGAGTTTGTGTAGAATTGGTATATATTTCTTAAATGTTTGGTTGAGTTTATCATTGAATTGATCTGGTCCTTAGTTTTCTATATTGGCAATATTGTGTCTTGGTCAGATTTGGGGCTTTAGAATCCAACAACCCCAGATTAATATCTGACTGTTAATTTCTCCCTGTGAGACATTGGGTAAGTCACACATTCTCTCTCAGCCTGTTTCCTCATATATAAAATGGATAACTGTGATGATTAAATTATAATATACATCAGTTATTGAATACTCTACTATATGTATTTATAGATAATACATACATATTTGTATATATTAAATTATTTAAATTTTATTATCATACTGTACTGTTTACAGTACATATCAGTACTATATTATTATAATCCTTATTTTACAGATAGGAAAGCTATTGCAAAGCAAGATTAGATAACTTGCCCAGGATTACTCAGGTTGCACATGATAGAGTCGGTATTCAGATTGAGGCTGTCCAGTTCCAGAGTCCTGGCTTTTAAACACTAAGCTTTACTAATGATAATGCCTATCTTTCAGAGTGCTATGAGTATTAAATGAGGCAATTCATGTAAGTGGCTGAATCTGTGCTAGTAGAAGCTTGTTATTTAGTAAATGTGTGTTATTATTAATCGTGAATTTTTATTATTTTGAAATGAAACTACTTTGGAACATTTTCAATCTGAAAGGCATTTTAGTATATATAAATAATCAAATGCTGCCTTAAAGTTTGTTGCTGTGAAATTCCATAAACATTTGCTGCACTTTACAACATGATATTGAGAATATCAAAGCTTCTTAGGAAAAGCAACTTGATTTCTTGCCCTGGTTCCACATTGTCTTTTTGTGCAATCCTGGTAATTAAAGCTTGTGAAATACTGGTGAATCTGTAACAAATGGATAGGAAAAATATCTGTTTTTATCATTTTGTCCTAAGTTGTTGAGTAGTTTAAAAAAGACAAGTACCTGAAGATTTTTGAAAAGTGCAAGATTGTGCAAAAATGAAATATAAATATTTGGTGTTCTGTGATAAAAATCAGAATCTTCTGTTTAAATATTTTGAGATTATTTTGAACATACTTGTACTGTGACTAGTATACATTGATGCCAGTTAATTTTAGGTTTTCAGGCCTTCATGGTAGTTATTCGGGCAATTCTTACTTTTCTTTTGGTCTGACGAGGTTGTGACTGCCATATGCCTAATGTTAGATTCATTCTATTTATTTAAAAAATTTAAAGGATAACCTAAAAAGTGAAATTACAGATTCAATAAGTACTTTGTCCTATGTTTCAGTCAACAAGACTTAATTTAAGCTTTTTTTCAAGTGATAAACCTCATTATATCAAAATATATAGCAAAATGACATAGTATGTATGCCATTAATTAAGACTGGAAATGATGTGGAAGACTAGCTCATTGGGCATTTTGACAGAGAGTAAGAAAAGACTTTGGTTATGAAGTGTAATGGTTATTGTGTAGATTGTCAAATGCTAAGGAACAATACTAACTCTGGGAAAATATAATAACATATTGCATTGTTTTGTGAATTGTAGCTGACTTTGGCCTGGCAAAGCAAAAACAAGAAAACAGTAAACTCACGTCTGTTGTTGGAACAATCCTGTATTCTTGGTAAGGACAATTATTTTATGGCTCTCAAACATCATGCTTAACTGGTTCGGAGTTTCATTTCTATTATTGACTTGCAAAGGCAAGAGGATTTCAGGAAAGAAAGCTTATAAGTTTTTTTTTCAATTATCTTGGTAATACACATGACTATAATTGTGGATCATTATCTATGCTTAAAATAACCACCACAAAAATAATCTTTCTTCTAAGGTATCACTGCCTTTCATGGGGATTACTTTTATAAATTGTAAATTGAAATGATCCTTGGCATACAGTAGGTGTGCAATAGTTGTTGAATGAATCTGAGAACAAAGTAACAGATATGCTACCCAGCATGATACTTGGAACATTTTCTTGTAGCTACCTGTATGTATGACTCTTTTTCTTTTTTCTACCTATAAACATTCAAGTGTAGGGGCGAGGATTTTTTGTACCCTAGTACCTATCCTAGCATCTGGAAAATAATAGGCATTGAATAAACTTTACTGCATGAATGGATAAATAATGACATGTATACTTACACATATGTTTGCAAAGTAAGTTGCTTCTTGGATAAATGAGTGTTTATGTTTTGATGAATTGAGACACTTTTAAATTCTTTGGCATGCTTTGGAGGTTTCTTTGCAAGCCATTAATTATTATGAAGTAAGAATCTTCTTTTGCTGATCACATATCATTTGTCTGAATCTGTTGAAATTAGAACATAGTCCTGGTAGTGAGTAGAAGAGCAGATTTCAGGGAAATATTCTGAAATCCGATTCAACAGGTCAAGCAATCAAGACACTTCAACTTTTAAAAAATTTAACCTATAGTTATACAATTGAGTCTTGGGAATAGAATTAAACACGACTCTTCTTGAGGAAGCGTAGAAATTGTCTAAAAATAGCCTAATTTTACAAATTCCTTTCATGCAGAAGTGTTCAGGATAATGTTGTAAGAGGGCGACTTTTCATTTATCTTACTGGAAATTCCTGACATCTCTATTCTTGAAACTAGTTTCATGAGAAGATGCAAAGAAACTGTGGCAGGCTAATATGTAGCTGGTAAGGTGCAAGATAGTCTTCTTCACCTCTTAACAATAAGGCTGATCTACTTGTTACTTGCCGACAGAAGAGTAATTTTCTTTTGTTTCACTTCATACTGTTTTTATGCAATAAACAATACAGATTTGATTATAAAAGTGTCAAGTAATCATATATTTCTGAACAAATTTGATTGTCAATCAAATTGCAGAATAAAACACAAACTTAAATTTTTGCTGATCATACTTATTAAAAGCACATTTTTATTCCTGAGACTGTGAATTAAATTTAGAATTGCTCATATGATAGTATCAACTGTGTGTGTGTGTGTGTGTGTGTGTGTGTGTGTGAAAGAGAGAGAGAGTCTATAGAATATGTAGAAAGAGATCTAAAACATGACAACTTTTTTGCTGTGTTAGCTGAAACATGGATTCACATTTTCATTCAATTTTTAAATTAACTGAAGAGTTTGTAAAGCTGAACCTACTCATATAGATAAGCTATTATTTCATGTAGGTGTGCTATGATTGTTTTAATAACATGTACAGTATATCTTTCTACCATTTTTCTTTCTGTCAACCCCTTGTTCTTTTAAATTGCTTTAAAAATTTCTTTCTACTCCCTTTTCTCACCTCCCCAAGTTATTAGAAATGCCCCTTGTCTGATGGGTTTTACCATGAAGTGGGGCTCACTAACCATCTTTCTTGCTAGTTTTTGATGTCTTTGAGGATGGAGTTAAAAGAACTCAGTCCTACATCGTTTGTGTTGCTTTCTTAACTATTTCACTCAAATTCTTGTCTCAGATTCCAAAAGCAGAATCTGAGATGAGAATTTGAGTGAAATACTTTATTTGGGATGAGGTCCCAGGAAATACTAGTAGGAGAGAGGTGAAGTGAGACTGGGAGGTAAGGCAGCAAGTAACAGTGGACATTAATAATTAGGGTTGTGGAGTATTATCTGGGATATAGTGTAGAGCATGGGTGTCCAATCTTTTGGCTTTT